AGTGTAGTTGTACACAGAGGTTTTGGACTGGCACCTGTTAAGGCTGTTGGTAGCCTAAACTGTTATTTCCAGTAAATGTTCCTGTAAATAATACTAAATGAGGCCTTTTCTATTTGAAAAGCAATGTCTTTGGAGGAGTGGGACCCTTTTGATTGGAGACCCCCCCCCATTTCCAAAGTTTGCTGCCATTTTGCAGAAATGAACATTTGTGATTTTTATTCACGAGTGATAATTTGGATTTTTCTTGTATTTTTAATGATCCGGTGCACTTCATGTCGAGGTTGTTAATGGTATATTCTGTCTATATTGTGTTGCTCATCCTGGATTTGAACTCCCAAGAGTTCAAGAGCTAGGAAATTATTGGCTGTTGGCTGGGAGGTGGTCTCGATGTGCCAGGGCGCTGCGGAATGTAGAGTATACTCTGCCAGTGAGTTGGAATCATGGAAGATAGCTTGTTAAGCCCCCTCTTGAAGGTTTGGAAATGTTCTGGTTGTAGTTATTCATTCCTGTGCTCCCACTTTCACGTACACTCACCCTTATGGTTTGAAGTTGAACTGGTCATTGTGGGAAAAGATGGTTGGAACAGAATGTCAAACTTCTAGAAGAAAGGCTGAACAGCACCATCTAGCTCATTCGATTCAGCTGGATGACATCTGAGGGTCTCCTGCCAGCATTGCCTTTGAAAGGAGATGGTATGAAGCAGTGTCCAGGTGTGGTGCTGATGGATACCTGAAACCTATTGCAATTAGTCTCACGTGTTTTTGTCATCTAACATGAAAAGGTTTGTAAGAGCTTTGAAACAAGGGGACAGGAAGCACAGTAACTCAAGAACACATTACAGTAGGAACTGCACCAAAACAAATTGTGGAGTCCTATCTTACAAGATGCTGTGGTGGTAGTGGTCCTGGTATTTTGGTGCCGTAGAGGCACAGCCATGCTGCAGCTGAGCTGTAAGAAACATCTTGCTGTGCTGTCAGGAGGCCTGATCTGGCCAGAGGAGAAGGGAGGGAGAGGGAT